ATCAAGGAGAACCCAAAAGGGATTCGACAAATACACCAAGGACAAAAGGATAACTAGGGAGAGAATATGGCCCCTTAAAGATCAGCAAGACTGTGTCGAACCAAAAGGAGTTGTTTGAGATATCAAATGAGTACTTTGCATCAATATTTAATGTGGAGAAGGACATGAAAAGCTAGAGAACTTGGAAAAATAAGGAACTCCCTACCTATGTCCGTGACACCACCCACGCCCTCCACCTCCTCCAGAACTTCCAATTCCCCGGTCCCCAACACCTCATCTTTACCATGGACGTCCAGTCCCTCTACACCTGCATTCCCCATGCAGATGGCCTTAAGGCCCTCCGCTTCTTCCTGTCCCGCAGGCCCGACCAGTCCCCCTCCACTGACACCCTCATCCGCTTAGCCGAACTCGTCCTCACACTCAACTTCTCTTTCAATTCCTCCCACTTCCTACAGACAAAGGGGGTAGCCATGGGTACCCGCATGGGCCCAAGCTACGCCTGCCTCTTTGTAGGTTACGTGGAACAATCCCTCTTCCGTACCTACACCGGCCCTAAACCCCACCTCTTCCTCCGTTACATTGATGACTGTATCGGTGCCGCCTCGTGCTCCCACGAGGAGCTCGAACAGTTCATACACTTCACTAACACCTTCCACCCCAACCTTAAGTTTACCTGGACCATCTCTAACACCTCTCTCCCCTTCCTGGACCTCTCTGTCTCCATATCGGGCAACCACCTAGAAACCGATATTCATTTCAAGCCCACCGACTCCCACAGCTACCTAGAATACTCCTCCTCCCACCCACCTTCCTGCAAAAATGCTATCCCCTATTCCCAATTCCTTCGCCTCCGCCGCATCTGCTCCCAGGATGAGGCATTCCACTCCCGTACATCTCAGTTGTCCTCGTTTTTCAAGGACCGTAACTTCCCCTCCTCGGTGGTCGAGAACGCCCTCAACCGTGTCTCCCACATCTCCCGCACCTCATCCCTCACACCCCGTCCACGCAATAAAAACCAAAAAAGAATCCCCCTCGTCCTCACGTACCACCCCACCAACCTCCGGATCCAACGCATCATCCTCCGACACTTCCGCCATCTGCAATCCGACCCCACCACCAAAGACATCTTTCCCTCCCCACCTTTATCTGCTTTCCGGAGGGACAACTCTCTCCGTGACTCCCTTGTCCGCTCCACACTCCCCTCCAGCTCCACCACACCCAGCACTTTTCCCTGCAACCACAGGAAGTGCTACACCTGCCCCCATACCTCCTCCCTCACCCCCATCCCAGGCCCCAAGAAGACTTTCCACATCAAGCAGATGTTCACCTGCACATCTGCCAATGTGGTATACTGCATCCGCTGTACCCGGTGTGGCTTCCTCTACCTCGGGGAAACCAAGCGGAGACTCGGGGACCGCTTTGCAGAACACTTACGCTCGGTTCGCAACAAACAACTGCACCTCCCAGTCGCGAACCATTTCAACTCCCCCTCCCATTCCTCAGACGACATGTCCATCCTGGGCCTCCTGCAGTGCCACAACGATGCCACCCGAAGGTTGCAGGAACAGCAACTCATATTCCGCTTGGGAACCCTGCAGCCCAATGGTATCAATGTGGATTTCACAAGTTTCAAAATCTCCCCTCCCCCTACCGCATCCCAAAACCAGTCCAGCTCGTCCCTGCCTCCCTAACCTGTTCTTCCTCCCACCTATCCCCTCCTCCCACCTCAAGCCGCACCTCCATCTCCTACCGACCAACCTCATCCCGCCCCCTTGACCTGTCCGTCCTCCCTGGACTGACCTATCCCCTTCCTAACTCCCTACCTACACTCACCTTTCCTGGCCCCATCCCCGCCTCTTCGACCTGTTTGTTTCCTCTCCACCTATCCTCTCCTCTATCCCTCTTCTATCCGCCTCCCACTCTCTCCCTATTTATTTCAAAACCCCCTTCCCCTCCCCCTTTTCTGATGAAGGGTCTAGGCCCGAAACGTCAGCCTCTCTGCTCCTATGATGCTGCTTGGCCTGCTGTGTTCATCCAGCCCTGCACCTTGTTGTCTCTATATCTTGACTAGCGTCCACATTACAGGACAGGTGGTGCTGGACATCTTAAAATACATAAAGGTGGCTAAACCACCAAGGACCTGGGGAAGCGTATCCCAGAACTTTGCAGGAAGCTAGGGAAGAGATTGCTGGGCCCCTTGCCAAGTTATTGGTATCATCAATGGCCACAGGTGACGTGCTGGAAGACTAGAGGTTGGCTAATGTGGTGCCATTATTTAAGAAAGGCTGCAAGAAAAATCCAGGGATATATAAACTGGTAAGCTTGACATCAACAGTGGCTAAGTTATTGGAGGGCATTCTGACGGACAGGATTTACTCGCATTTGTAAAGGCAAGGACTGATGAGGAATAGTCAGCATGGCCAAGTGTGGAAAACTCACTAACTTGACTGGGTTTTTTTGAAGTAGTGACTAAGAACATTGAGGGCAGAGCAGTAGATGTTGTCAATATCGACTTCAGCAAGGCTTTCAACAAGGTTCCACATGGCAGACAAGGATAAATCACATGGGATCCAGACAGAGTCAACTGGATACAAAATTGGTTTTGTAGGTAGGATGGTGGCAGTAGAGGGTTGTTTTTCAGACCAGAAGAGTACCAAAGTTTAGTGCTGGGTCCACTGCTTTTCGTTATTTATACAAGTGATTTGGAATGTAGATATAAGAGGTATTGTTACTAAGTTTGCAAAGGACACCAAAACTGAGAGTGTGTGTAATGGACAGCAAAGAATCTCAGAACATAATAAGACCTTGATCAGATGGGTCAATGGGAGCTGAGTGGCAGATAGAGTTTTAATTTAGATTATTTAGAGTTGTTTAAATTTCGGTAAGGCAAATCAGGACAGGACTAGTCCAGTTAATGGTAGGGCCCTGGGGAGCATTGCCAAATGAGTCCTAGGTGTGCAGGTACACAGTTCATTGTATGTTGCTGGAAATCAGACAGTTTGAGCTACAGGGTGAGGCTGAGGGGTGACATTAGAGGTTTATAAAATCATGAGGGGCATAGATAAGCAAATAGCCAAAGTCTTTTGCCCAGAGTAGCAGAGTCCAAAACTCCAGGGCATAGGTTTAGGGTGAAAAGGGAAAAAGATTTAAAAAAGGGACCCAAGTAGTAACTTATTCATGCAAAGAGAGTTGCATGTATGGAATGAGCTGCCAGAATGTGTTGGTGGCAGCTATAATTACAACATCTGTACGCAAAGATGAATAAGAAGGATTGAGAGAGATATGGGCCAAATGTTGGCAAGTGAGATTAGATCAGTTTAGGATATCTGGTCAGCACAGACAAGTTGGACTGAAGAGTCAACAAGGTGCAGAGCTGGATGAACACAGCAGGCCAAGCAGCATCATAGCAGCAGAAAGGCTGACATTTCAGGCCTAGTCCCTTCTTCAGAAATGGGGGAGGGGAAGGGGGTTCTGAAATAAATAGGGAGGGGGGGGGGAGGCGGATAGAAGATGGATAGAGGAGAAGATAGGTGGAGAGGACTGAAGAGTCTGTTTCTGTGATGTATAGCTATCACTTGTCCTGGAAGGAAACTGCCATCCTTACCTGCTTTGGGCTACATGTAACTCTAGACCCACAGCAATGTGGCTGACTCAACCACCCCCTGGTATGGGCATTAAATGCTGGCATAGCCAGTGACACCCTCATCTTGTGAATACTAGCCTTGCCAAGATTATGCACATCTCAAAAGATGAAACTTTGAAAATTAGAAACAGCTTCAGGTAAGTACTATCTTTCAGTGTCCATTCACCACAAGCCACACAAGTCTCACTATCAATTTAAGCAGCATTACACAGCAAATGCTTTTATTAAGAGACATTAGAGGGCTTTGAATTAAAACAAACAGATAAATTACAGCATGGAGTGATCCTAAAGATGACCAGACTAGCAAACAATAAAAGCAATCAATTCAACCATGTTTGTTCCAGCATCTTGAAAACTTCAGCAACTTTTAAAACAGCAAGTAGGGCCAAATAATTCACCAATTAAGTCATTTACCTATAGGATTCAGTTTAATTTAAATAGAAAACTGGACTAATTTTCCATACACAGGTACAAATCTGTCACCATGTTTATTCAACTAGAAGTACCAAACATGCTGGAAATCTGGATTGAAAACAAAACGCTGGAGAAATTCAGCAGGTCTGGCATCATCTTGGAGAGACCAGTCATAACAATCTGAACAATCATAATCAGACCCGAAACATTCAGTATTTCTCTCTGCACACATCAGACCTGCTAGCTCCCCTAACATTTTATCATCTTGTCTATTCCCCACCCCGCCAAAACCATACGGGAAACTTTGCAGATGGCACTGGAATAAAGGCAAAGCTACTAATGGGGGTAAAAACCCAGTTCCTTCTGCTTTTGACATGGCCATTGGTTTTGACAGTTTAAACTCCCAGTCAACTCATCCAGGAGCATCCGGGGGACGATCGGATGGGTTGCTCTTTTCAGTAATGAGCATGATTAAAAGCTGAAAGCAGAACTGGAATTCAGAAAGAGGTTATTAAAAGTATCATGCCTTCTTAAAAGAAAGGGCTAACAATTTTTTAAAAAAAAGGTACTTCAGAACATTAGCTCAAGACAGTCAACACCTCAAAACAGAGAGGGTTGTGTGCAGTTTCCAAGTAGAGAATCATTCGATTATGAGCAAAATCAAGGACACCAGCGATTTAATAGTATCCGATAATGAGCGAACATTTAAATAACCGGCTCCGAGATATGCTTCTGAATGAAGCAAAGAGAATAACAGGATTTCCCGTCCTAAAAATACGATACCCTCTCCATTTAGTCACTGATTACATGCTGAATCGCCTCTGTCCTCTGAGGTGGGGTTGGAATGGAAAAGAACGTAGGCCACGACTGAAGCCTCGAACTAGATTTACACTGTCCTCATCACCCCTCAATTTAAATTAGAGGCTGGCAGCCGTATACTCACCCTCATTCGGACCTCGTATGTGGTGTACTTACTCCTACCGACCCCGACTGTCTGCGGGTTGAAGATGTCGATCTCGAGGAAGTTGCTGGGAGGCCCGTACGCGTCGTTTAAATCCTGCGGTTTACTGTGAAGCCTACGGGTGTCAGCCACCCCCAGAGCCTCCGCCATCTTCGGGGAGAAAAGAGCAAATGTAAGGAGATAGTGGAAGAAATAATTTTTAAACCTTGACTCCGCTTGTTTTACGGCCAGCTACTGGCCTGGGACTTTTTAAAATGCAAAAAACACCCCGACTCCACCCGCTGCCGGCATAGCCCAATAACACAACAGCCAATCTGCACCCGGGCGTATTAAATATTCAGATTACCGCCGGCCGTGGCCATTATCTGGCACCCAGGAGAGAGCACTACCCAATATTCCCGCTTCGCTCAACCCGTAGGCGGTATTTACGTATTCATGGTTAGGGGCTGCGTACACGACGCCGACACTGTGGCTCATTCGGATTATTCATGGTCCAGGGTTCGCAAGTCGCTGCTCCCGGCGAGAAACTTGAGTATGTTCTGGGGCCAGGCGTGGGCGGCCGCATGCAACACTCGGCTATTCAGATTACGGGGCTCAGCAGGCTCCGCGCTGGAGCCTGGGACTTGATGACTCGAAGGTAACCAACCAAGACTGTCGGTGTTGGAGATGATGTTATTCAGATTCTGGGGTGATAAGGTACTCACTTTTGTATTGGTTTGCATTGATTCACTTATAAAGGCACTGAATTATTGGTCTTTTAAATATATTTTCTAATAACCCTGTTCAGAGATGTTATTACAAATTCTGGAGCGGGTGGGACTTTAACCCAGTCCTTCTGGCTCAGAGGTGGGTGACAACTACAGTGTCACAATACACCATAGTGAACCAGATGGGTTATTCCGATAATGGGCAATGGGTTCATTATCATCATTATACTCGTAATTACAGATCTTTAAAAAAAAAATATTGCATTTCAAATTCCATCTGCCATGGTGGAATTTGAACCTCAGGTCTCCAGAAGAGTACCTAGGTTTCTGGATTAACGATCCAGCAATAACATCTAGGCCATCACCTCTCTAATGTGGTTGAACAAAGAGCCTTTATATTTCAAGACAAATCACATTAATGCAATCCAATTCCTCACTTGGTTTGGGTTCTCATTGGAATAGCTAAATACTGAAATTTATATGCAATTCAGTGCCTGTATAATAGAAATCGTGCATTGTTTTGTAATGTCAATGTAATTTTACATTATCCTTTAATATGCCATCCACCACTTTTCTGCTACTTGCTGAATTTCTGAAGAAGGGTCACTGGACTTGAAATGTTACCTCCGTTTCTATCTCCACATATACTGCCAGAATTGCTGGGTTTCTCCAGTAGTTTCTATTTTGGTTTCAGATTTTCAGCATCTGCAGTTCAATGTTTTATTATATCGCTGAATTTCATTGTATTGTTCTTACTTATATGTGAACATATTAATTATAAGCAAAAGTAGCCATTTGTCCCCTGAAGCCTTCTCCATCATTCAGTAAGATCATGATCGATCCGCCTGTGTTCTGAATATTCCCAATATCCTTTGACTCCTTTGCCTAAAAAGAATCTATCTAAAATTAAAACAAAGAACTGTGGAGGCTGGACATCTGAAACAAAAAGAGAAATTGCAGTAAAATCTCATCAGCTCTGGTCGCGTCTGGCAGGAGGGAAGGCAGTTAACATTTCAAGTCCAGTGACCCTTTTTCAGAATCCACCTTAAAAATACTGAATGACTGCATCTCCATAATCTCCTGAGACAGAGTTCCAAAGTTGCACAATATTCAGAGAGAAAAGAAATTTCCTAATCTCTGTACTAAAATGGCAATCTCTAATTTTTAAATATTGCCCCAGATCTGGACTTATCCCACTTGGGGAAAAATTATTTCCAAGTCTACTTTATTAAGACCATTCCGGATCTTGTACACATAAAACAAATGGGCGGCATGGTGGCTCAGTGGTTAACACTGCTGCCTGACAGCGCGAGGGACCCAGGTTTGATTCCAGTCTCGGGTGATTGTGTGCAGTTTGCATGTTCTCCCCGTGTCTGCGTGGGTTTCCTCTGAGTGCTCTGGTTTCCTCCCACATCCAAAGATGTGCAAGTTCAATGGATTGGCGATGCTAAATTACCCATAATGTTCAGGGATATGTTGGTTAGGTGGGCTAGCCATGGGAAATGTAGGTTTATGGGGTTGGGTCTGGCTGGGACGCCCTTCTATTCCTATTTTCTCTCCCCCACCTACCCCTCCCTCCCCTTTTTCTCTCCCCCTCAATCTCTCTGTCGCTTCTTTCTCTCGCCTCCCCTGCCCTGCAGCTCCCTGCAATAATGGTTTGCGACAGGGATTAGTGCTGAGCCCACACAAATCACAAAAAGCTAGCATGCAAATTTGGCGGCTAATAGGGAACATAAATGGAATGTTGACCATTAATTTCAAAGGAATGGAGGATAATCATAGGTTTTGCTAAAACTATACAAAGCACTAATCATACCGTAGCTGGAATGCTGTGAACAGTTTGGGCCCTCTATCTATGGAAAGAGAGGCATTCCAGAGAATATTCACTAGGCTGATACCAGGTATGGAGAGAGTGTCTTAGGAGGAAAGGTTGAGTATATTGGGCTTGTACTTGTTGAAACATAGAAGAACAAAATATATAAGAACTTATTGAAACATTCAAAATTCTTAGAGTATTTGACAGGGTAGATGTGGAAAGGTTATTTCCCCCTATAGGAAAGTCTGGAACCAGAGGACATAACCTCAGAATTACGTCTTGGACATTTTAAGACAGATGAGGAACTTCTTCTCTCAGAGGGTAGTGAATCTGTTGAATTATTTACTACAGAGGGCTTTTGAGGCTGGGTCATTAAGTATATTCAAAGCTGAAATAGACAGATCTTTAATCAGTAAGGGAATCATGAATTATGGGGGAAAGGCAGGAAAGTGGAGTTGAGGATTATCAGATCAACTATGATCTCACTGAATGTCGAAGTGAACTTGATGGCCAACTTCTGTTTCTATCTTGTCTCTCTGTACCTCAGAATTTTGCAATCATTCTCCATTTCAGTTGAATCCTTTCTTTTTAACCTTCATGCCAAAATAAACAACTTCACATTTTGCCACATTACATTCCACCTGCCGGATATTTGACCTCTCATTCAGTCTATCTATACCTGTCTACTTTGTGATTCCAGTCTGTGAAATTACTTTCTTATTGTTAAATTTTTCTACTCTGTAATTGAATTAATTTCTACTTCTTCATTCCCATTTGTTAAAGAAGTGCTTTTTAATAAGCTCAATTTTCTCCAGAATATTAAAATATTAAGATACAACTGGAACATGTATGACAAGAGCCTGAAACAAATTAATCATAAACATGAAAGAAGAATCATAAATTTACTTCAATAACCAGCAACCCCTCCCCCACCACCTCATCTCATAAACAGTGTGCTTCTGAACAAAAAAGAGAAAATCTGGATGCACACAACACTCCTTCTGGTGCAAGGAGTGGAGTAACAGGGCTGCTTGTGGGTTCTTACCTGGGGCCCATCCGTTCACATCTGCTTTCCTTCTTTGTTTTATTTTTGCTTCTGCTATTTTCTTTATTTTCCTTTCCTTTTGGTTTTTTTGCCTTTTGTGCTGTGTGTTGGTTGGCTGCACCAGCGCAGAAGCAAAAGTGGGCCGTGTGCGAAGTGGTGGATGTGGCTACCCCCGGCGATAGGAGGCGGCAGCGGACAAGTGTGTTCTGTCACCATTCGGGGTCGGTGGCAGTGGCGGCGAGGTCATTATCCCAGCGTTCAGGGCTGGCTGTAGCAGCAGCAAAGCTCCTCTACTGATCGGGGCGGCGGTGCTGGCAGTAGCAGACTCTTCGAGATGGCGGCGACAGCAAGGCGACACTTGCAGCCAAAGTGGGACTCATGACCCGGCAGCGATCTGGCCTGGCAGCGGAGGCAAGGACTCTTGGTTGCGGGGTGAGTGTGGGTTTAACGGTGTCAGCAAAGTGGGCCCAGCGGTGAAGAGATGTGCCTAAAGTGGGGCGACTCCTATCGTGATGGGTCCGGCACAGGTGCTGGCGAGGCAGTGGACGTCTCCCTTGAGGCTAGGTGCTGGCATGGACTGGGTGGGAAAGACTGATATTCTGAACTTTTAACTTCTTTATTTTTCTATTTATTCCTATGACCTATTATGCTGGACTATTTATTTCTTTACTTATCTAAATTTTTGTTTGATTCCTAAGAATTTGATCTTAAGTATCTGTACCTAGGTACCTTTGTACCCAAGATAGTACTGTAGTGCGGCAACTGTAAACTTTTCACTATATTCATTTGAGTACATGAGACAATAAAGCTAATTCAATTCATATTAAACAGTACAAAAACAAAAGTTCTGAGGAAGGGTCACCGGACCCGAAACGTTAACTCTGCTTTTTCCTTCACAAATGCTGGCAGACCTGCTGAGCATTTTCAACAAATTTGTTTTTGTTCCTGATTTACAGCATCCGCAGTTCTTTCGATTTTTATTACATATTAAACAGTGAGAAAAGGCACATTGACATTTCAAGTATGAGTCATGTTTCTGCACTGCCCCTAAATTCTATATAACTTAGGTCCCTCATCCTTGGAATCATTCTAGAAAATCTGTTTTGTTCTTAGGTCGGAGTTAATATTCTTCCAATTGTTAGGTAGTTGATTGAGGAAGACAGTAGCACAGTGATAATATCATTACCCTAGTAATCCAGAGGCATAATGCTTTGGGGTATAAATTCAAATCCCACCATGGTAGATAGTAGAATTTAATTAATAAAACTGTAACATAAAGCTAGTTTTAATAATAGTGATTATAAACCATTGCTGATTATTGTAAAAACCCAGTTGTTCATTAATGCTCATTACTGACAGAGATCTTCTGTCGGGTCTGACCTTCATGTGACTCTAGCCCTGCAGCAATAGGGTTGATTCTGAAATAGTTTAGCAAGCCAATCAGTTCAATGCCAATTAGGGATGGACAACACATGCTGACATTGCCAGTGATGCCCACATCTCATGCAAGAACAAAACAAAAGAATCCTCATACAGTATTCCAGATAGGACTTGACCACCTTTAGTCACCGTGACATTTGCTTTTCTGTTACATCCTTCTCAATGTAAATTCCAAAGTCCTAGTTGCATGTTAGCTTTTTAGCATGTGCACACTTAAACTTTTGCCTCTCGACTGCATTGCAAAATCAACTGGCCTTAATAGGTTTTCACAAATTTATTGAACTACATTTTTCTGTATTAAAC